CTGTGTGTGATGTGTTAATGTTGATATGACTCTGTGTGATGTGTTAATGTTGATATGACTGTGTGTGTGATGTGTTAGTGTTGATATGACTGTGTGTGATGTGTTGATGTTGATATGACTCTGTGTGATGTGTTAATGTTGATATGACTGTGTGTGATGTGTTAGTGTTGATATGACTCTGTGTGTGATGTGTTAGTGTTGATATGACTGTGTGTGATGTGTTAGTGTTGATATGACTGTGTGTGATGTGTTAGTGTTGATATGACTGTGTGTGATGTGTTAGTGTTGATGTGACTCTGTGGGTGATGTGTTGGTGTTGATATGACTCTGTGTGTGATGTGTTAGTGTTGATATGACTCTGTGTGTGATGTGTTAGTGTTGATATGACTGTGTGTGATGTGTTAGTGTTGATATGACTCTGTGGGTGATGTGTTAATGTTGATGTGACTGTGTGTGTGATGAGTTAATGTTGATGTGACTCTGTGTGTGATGTGTTAGTGTTGCCATAAGAAGATAGTCTGTGGCATTCAAACAATGACTGATTGGTATTAACGGGCCCAAAGTCTGCCAAGAAATCCTTCCCCACACCATTACACCACCTCCACCAGTCTGGACTGTTGACAGATGGCAGGTCGGGTCCATGGAGTCATGCTGTTGGTGCCAAATTCTGTGTGCCTCAGCAGAAATTGAGATTCATCAGACCAAGCTACATTTTTCCAGTCTTCTGCTGTCCAGTTTTGGTGAGCCCGTGCCCACTGCAGCCTCAGCTTTCTGTTCTTGGCTGACAGAAGTGGAACCCGATGTGGTCTTCTGCTGTTGTAGCCCATCTGCCTCAAGGTTTGATGTGTTGTCCATTCTGAGATGCTTTTCTGCTCACCACAATTGCATAGAGTGGTTATCTCAGTTACTGTTATCTCAGTCTATCTGTCAGCTCAAACCAGTCTGGCCATTCTCCGTTGACCTTTCTCATCAACAAAGCCTTTCCGTCCGCAGAGCTGCTGCTCACTGGATGTTCTTTATTTATTACACCGTTCTGAGTAAACTCTAGAGATGGTCGTGTGTATAAATCCCAAGAGATCAGCAGCTATAGAAATACTCAAACCAGCCCATCTGGCACCGACAGTCATGCCATAGTCAAAATCACTCAGATCACATTTTTCCCTATTGTGATGTTTGATGTGAACATTATCTGAAGCTGTTGGCCTGTATCTGCATGATTTTATGCATTGCACTTCTGCCACACAACTGGCTGATAAGATTGCATAATTAACCTGTAATGTTAGCTCAGCAGGTTCAGCAGTGGCTTGGGGCTCACTGCTTGGGGCAGTTGTGGCCTAATGGTTAGAGAGTTGGACTTGTCACCTGAAGGTCATGGGTTCAAGCCTCACTTCACTTCACTTCACTAATTACTTAGGTGTACAGGTGTTCCTAATAAAGTGGTCAATGACTGTGTAATGTGTCTATGTTGACATGACTCTGTGTGTAATGTGTCTGTAAGAATTAAAGTGAATGTATATGAATGTGTTTACTCCAGTATATGGTTATTTACAATTTCTGTTATGAGGTAAATATCACATTCATAAATATATAAACATTTTTATTCTTCTTATTCTTTTCGAATCAACTCTTCTTAAATATATTGACTGAGGTATGTTTTCTAGCAATAAGAAGATAAAACTGAAACACAATAGTAATAATACAGGGGGTTTAATTCCCACCTCCACCCTGTGTGGGCGTGTTCTGCCAGTGGTTCAGGGGTTTCCTCTGGGTTCTCTGGTTTCCTCCCCAGTCCAAAGACATGTGTTGTAGGCTGACTGGCATCTCTAAATTGTCTGTAGTGTGTGTGTGTGTGTGTGTGTGTGTGTGTGTGTGAGATAGTGCCCTGCGATGGGTTGGCACCCTGGCCAGGGTGTCCTCCGCCTTGTTCCCCCGAGTCCTCTTGGATAGACTCCAGGCTTCCTGTGACCCTGTGTAGGATAAGTTTAGAGTTTTCTGTGTTAAAATAAAATAAAATAAAATAAAATAAAGGGAGATAAGCGGTACAGAAAATGATGGATAATAATACATTTTCTATCAGAATATTTTCCATAAAATGAAATCAAATTTATCCTTTGTACATGCTGAACATGTTTGTTATTATAGAAACCCTCAAAAAAAAAAAAAACCCCAGCTTATTTCTGTTATTAAATAGATATCACATTCATAAACAGTGGTTTTCATTTTTATTTTCTTAATTCTTTTAGTTGACTGTTATATTTTAAAAATATATATATTTTCTGAATATTAAATTGGTTTTCTGTTCCATTAACAACTATTATTATTATTATTATTATTATTATTATAGAAATATTATTATTATTATTAAAGCATTTTATTAGTTTCGTTTCCATAGGCTTTTATATTTATTTATTTTTATCTATTTTATTAAGTTTTTATAAACCTTAAAACGATGTGAAATAAAACATGCTGATGTAAATCAAAACATAAATCACACTTTAAATAAATAAATATATATATACACACACACACACATATATATACATATATATATATATATTTTTTTTTTAAATTTATTTATTATTTATTTATTTATTTTCAGCTGTCAGCGTCGACCCTTACGCTCGGCATGCGTATGACGTCACCGACGTCTCGAGCTGTTTGTTCTGGATTGTGGGAAAAGAAAAGAGCGCGCGCACCTTGACAACCCGATAAATAAGGTAACCAAAAAAAAAAAAAAAAAAAAAAAAAAAAAAAAAAAAAAAAAAAAAAAAAAAAAAAAAAAAAAAAAAAAAAAAAAAAAAAAAAAAAAAAAAAAAA